CTAGCAAAATGTAACGACTGATGGTTCGATTAACAAGATGTAATGACTGATGGTAGAACTAACAAGATGTAATGAATTACAAGATATAATGACTAACAAGATGTAATGACTAATGGTTGGACTAGCAAGATGTAATTACTGATGGTTGGGTACTAACAAGATGTAATGACTGACAAGATGTAATGACTGATGGTTGGACACTAACAAGATGTAATGAATTACAAGATATAATGACTAACAAGATGTAATGAATTACAAGATATAATGACTAACGAGATGTAATGACTGACAAGATGTCATGTCTGATGGTTCGACTAACAAGATGTAATGAATTACAAGATATAATGACTAACGAGATGTAATGACTGACAAGATGTCATGTCTGATGGTTCGACTAACAAGATGTAATGACTGATGGTTGGACTAGCAAGATGTAATGACTGATGGTTCGACTAACAAGATGTAATGACTGATGGTTGGACTAGCAAGATGTAATTACTGATGGTTGGACTAACAAGATGTAATGACTGATGGTTGGATACTAACAAGATGTAATGACTGATGGTTGGACTTACAAGATGTAATGGCTGATGGTTGGACTTACAATATGTAATGACTGATGGTTGGACTAACAAGATGTAATGACTGATGGTTGGACACTAACAAGATGTAATGACTGATGGTTGGACACTAACAAGATGTAATGACTGATGGTTGGACTAGCAAGATGTAATTACTGATGGTTGGACTAACAAGATGTAATGACTGATGGTTGAACTAACAAGATGTAATGACTGATGGTTGGACTAGCAAGATGTAATTACTGATGGTTGGACTAACAAGATGTAATGACTGATGGTTGGATACTAACAAGATGTAATGACTGATGGTTGGACTTACAATATGTAATGACTGATGGTTGGACACTAACAAGATGTAATGACTGATGGTTGGACTAACAAGATGTAATGACTGATGGTTGGACACTAACAAGATGTAATGACTGATGGTTGGACTAGCAAGATGTAATTACTGATGGTTGGACTAACAAGATGTAATGACTGATGGTTGAACTAACAAGATGTAATGACTGATGGTTGGACTAACAAGATGTAATGACTGATGGTTGGACACTAACAAGATGTAATGACTGATGGTTGGACACTAACAAGATGTAATGACTGATGGTTGGATACTAACAAGATGTAATGACTGATGGTTGGATACTAACAAGATGTAATGACTGATGGTTGGACTTACAAGATGTAATGGCTGATGGTTGGACTAACAAGATGTAATGACTGATGGTTGGACACTAACAAGATGTAATGACTGATGGTTGGACTAACAAGATGTAATGACTGATGGTTGGACTAGCAAGATGTAATGACTGATGGTTGAACTAACAAGATTTAATTACAAGATGTAATGGCTGATGGTTGGACTGACAAGATGTAATGACTGATGATTGGACTAACAATATGTAATGACTGGTGACTAACAAAATGCAATAAAACAATGAAACAAAATGTTATTAACAACTTAATCATAATTCAACAGTCAGTCAGTCACTATTCTGAAGATTAAAAGTTAGATTGGGTAGGATAAATTTATTCTAGAATGTCATTTTGTCTTAAGTCATGCTGTCCAAATCAATAATCATGTTTACAATGTCAAGCCATTACAAACTGTGTCTAATACCTTAATATCATTAGCAACTTTTCTTGTATCACTGAACTTTGTATGATTGGCTGTATTCCATTATACAAGAAAGTTGGCTGTTGCAATCAAGGTATTAGACACAGTTTGTAATGACTGGACATTGTGAACATGGGTCTTAATAAGCTCAGAACACATTAATCATGCAAATCTCACATTGAACATAATAACAAAGCTATTCTTTTGCAAAAATGTGTACCATGAGGCGGTTTAGTTGTCTAAATACATGCTTCACAGCTAATAAAGAGTTGTCTAAATACATGCTTCACAGCTAACAAAGGTCAATTTCAGCTGAGCATGTCCCTTGATCAGCTGGTAAAACAATTAGACAACTATATACCTTTACTAATTTATGAAATTAAATAATCTTCATACCAAATCTATGATAATCAATTATAAGCTAACAGAAATTGCATTACTTATGGAATACAGGACAACAACAAAAAACTTAAAATAAAGAATAATTAAATACAAAGCTTGCCATAGCATGAGACGGTCTTCACATAAGAATTATAAAAATAAATTGAAACTAAAGATTGAAAGCCTATTTAAACTCATGTTGTGATAAAGAGATGGCCATATCTTTGGTAGGTAGTGGTTTGTCATATCCCTCTTTACCATCTAACCAATAGGTAGTCATAGTTCCTTTACCCTACAACATAATATACAATGCTTATTCATCAAACCTCAATACCAAAGAAAGTTTATTTCAATTTAATAGACCTCAATAAATGTTTACTGGTCAATAAGATTCCCCAATCCAAGTTGTCAATCAACTAGTGAGGTCTTGTGTCCCTAGATATTAATCAACATCCTGTCTTTGCATGCATCAAGTCACTTTCGGTAAGTCAATATTGAGGGTAAGACTAAACCATAATGTACACTGCAGTGTTTAGGCACACCCACAGTATAATGTCAAATTGTACATTTTACTGTCGGTGCGCCTAAACACTGCAATGTCAACAGTGGTCTCTCTGAAAGTAATACAAGGGTAATAATCCAAAATACTTAACATAAAAAAAGGTAAAAAGATCATATTGTAGGTTATTTTGCAAATTCTGCAACAACAAAAAAAACCAAATTATTTACCTTTACTTCTCTTTCACCACGACAATCAAGAATATAGCCTCCTAATTCCATCAAAATATCAGCTGTCATGCTACTCATATGAATCTTCAATGCTGGAAAGATTTAGTAGAGAAGGATACCATAATTAAAATTACCAACCATCATTATCACGAAGGTTTCTCCTCATCAGATACAGAGATGACAACTCTTGTCAAAGTTACATCAGATACTCTGTACTATGTTCTGTGAATGCATTGGATAACTTTCAAATAACAAGAAATTCATGATATATTGTAAAATTGAAAAAAGTAACCTGTAGCCTACTCACCAACTGAACTAGATTCCATTCTAGAGGCTGTGTTTACAGTATCACCAAACAAACAATATCTAGGCATTTTTAATCCAACAACACCAGCCACGCAAGGTCCTACAAACATAGTTTATATATTCAGTTTATAACAGGACTAAGACTTGTGAAAGAGAACAGTATGAAGAGCAGTGTGCATTAACCAATAATTCAGAAAGCAATATTAAGAAAGTGTTGAGGTTGAGCAAAAAATACCTGTCCTGAGAAAGATAAAATCTTCAAAAGGAAAGAGTTTTACGAACAACTTCCAAGCATAGGCTAATGACAATGTGTAAAAAGAAAAACCAAATCCTTACCTGAATGCATGCCAACACGAAGTTGTAAAATTTTACCAGGCAAGTGTCGAATTCTGAAGCCAACCATAGAAGATAATAAATCTAAAGACATAGTAGCTATTTCTCCTGCGTGTAGTTTACCGTTTCTTATTGGTAGACCACTGACAACCATATCTTAATAAATAACATCAAACTTAATAAATAAATCAATTTCCGAATTCTATATCTACAAAATTTATAATAAGTTTACATCATTGTGCTCTTAAAATAATAAGTGTATTAGTGACCACCCTTAACAATGTCTTCCATAAAAAAAATTTCAAATCTCTATTAACCCTAACCCTTAAAGTTCTACTAATAAGATAGCTTGCCAGTCAAGGTAATATACGCCCTCTGGCAGCTATGATTTTGAATAAAGATATTTAGCAGTACAGTAACAATCACCTGTATGAAATATTCAACCTTCAGTCATACAATTCTTTTGAACTGTTTAGGGCGATACTGAATAATATTGAGTATGAGTTATTGCCCTTGTTCTTGAAAAAGTGTTCAATTTTTAGCTCGTGAAAACTCTAGAAGGCAAATATTCAGTGCGGGACTGAATAATAAGATAGCTTGCGAGGAAAGGTAACATACGCCCACTGGATTTTCTCATATTGAAGAAATTTTATTAGTTTGAATTCAATTACATATATAGCCAGATATTTATGCTGAGTAAGTCCACAAAATTTTTTAAAATCAATATCAATAACCCAAATACAACAAACAATTAAATCACACAGCTCTAATCAAGGGCAAAAAACAACTTTTGACGCGTGTTTACAAAGTCAAAGTTCATAAAAAATATCTCAAGTTAAAACTTGTCCGAGATCTTATCAATTCCATGATCATAACAAATTTGATCAAATTTGGTTGAAAACTGTAGCTTCTATAGTGCTCACAAACACATTTTGACGCGTTTTTACAAAGTCAAGGGCAGTAACTCAAAAACCGTTCAGCGAAAATGCGTCAAGTTAAAACTTGTCCGAGATCTTATCAATTTCAATGATCACACCAAGTTTCATCAGAATCGGATGAAAACTGTAGCTTCAATCCTGCTCACGAACTATTTTTAACAAATTTCAAGGCGTTCTAAGTCAAGGGCAATATCTCAAAAACCGTTCATTGAAAATATGTCAAATTCGAACTTGACCCAGATCTTATCAATCTAAAGCATCACACCAAGTTTTATCAAAATCAGATAAAAACTGTAGTCTCTATAGTGCTCACAAGAAATGTTGACCGACGGACAGGGTCAACGACAATATACGACCACATATTCATGTGGGCGTATAAAAACCAAGTTTTGTCAAAATCCAGCAAGAATCATGCCTTTTAGTGTCTAAGAGCTAAATCTGAAAGCGTTTTCAAGAACAAGGGCAATAACTCATACTAAATATTTTTCAATTCTTCTGATTTTCAATAGGGTTCATCCTTGGGTGATTACGAACATTCACACCAAGTTTCATCAAAAGTCAAGAATTCTAGAGTGATTACGAGCTAAAAATTGAAAAATTTCAATAGCAAGGGTAATAACACATACTAATTTTGATTTTTCTGATTTTCAATAGGGTTTATCCTTCAGTGATAACAAACACTCATGTCAAGTTTCATCAAAATCCACCAAGAATTGTACCTTCTAGAGTGTTTATGAGCTAAAAATTTAACGCGTTTTCAAGAACAAGGGCAAAAACTCATACTAAATATTTTTCGATTCTTCTGATTTTCAATAGGGTTTATCCTTGGGTGATTACGAACCCTCATACCAAGTTTTGTCAAAATCCGTCAAAAATTGTGTCTTGTAGAGTGTTTACGAGCAATTGTGGACGGACCGACGGACGGCAATATACACCCCCCATTTCATGTGGGCGTATAGAAATAAATTTCATGTCTTTAGGGTCTTAAAAAGTGTATGAATTACCTCCGTTAACATCATTGTAGTCTTAAAATAATAAGTGTATTAGTTACCTCCCTTTACAAAATGTCCCCCATAAAGATTTTCAATAATCAAAAACCCTAACTCTACTTAACCCTTTATTTATTAAATTTTATCGTGTATGAATTACCTCCCTTTACAATATGTCCACCAAACATTTTATTATTAACCCTAACTCTAATTAACCCTAACCCTATAAAATAAAGACCATATTAGTTACCTCCCTTTACAAAATGTCCCCCATGGACATTTTATTATCACAACTATTAACCCTTACCCTACATGCTGTTTCATCAAAACAGTATCTTTTAAGAACAAAATAAGAGTTGATTTCAACTTTAGATACAGAATTCTTCAGGACAGCTACAATAGGAAATGGAGGTTCACTTTCCAATATACATAAGACAAGAGTTTAGGCACATGAGCAAATTAAAGGGCGTTGTAAAGGTTTTCTAAATTTTGTGTAAGGTCAGCAAGGTCACTTAGGGGGATTATAAAGAGTTGTCTTATTTTTCTAAAATGTGCATCAGAGACACTGATAACATCAATTTGTACCATTCCAATTTTTAATCAGAGGTCTATGGCTTCTGCAATTCCACCAGGTATTTGATGATGTCACTTATCACAAAATATGCTTTCACATAAGGCCCTTTGCCTTGTGACGTCAAACATTTTTTTTTATGGCAATGCAGGAACCACAGACGTCTGATTGAAAATTGGAATGGTGCAAATTGATGCTATTAGTTTCCCTGATGCACATTTTAGAAAATTTAGAAAACTCTTTATAATCTCTCTAAGTGACCTTGCTGAACAGGAATGAAGAATTGATTACTTACAGGCATCACCAATAGTTTCTACCTTATAAACATCATAATGATCTAAAATAGCATCAAATGTTGTATAGAGATCATTGAGTAAATCTACAACCTGGAATGGGGTACTATCTCTAGCTATAGCTGTAAATCCAACAATATCACTGAAATATATAATTTATTAATGTTTTGTTGTCCCTTTAACTAGATGTTAATCTGTATGGATAATTTGGTGAGATCAATGTCAAGAGATTTGAACATTAGCCTAAAGAGAAAAATTGTTACAGCAACAATCACTTTGAATGCATATATTTGTCAAGATCAGTACTTAGAATATCCAACCCATCTAACCTGAAGAAAATGGTGACACATTCGAATTCTTCTGGTAAAACTTTTCTGCCATGTTTTAAATCTTCCACAACTTTCTTAGGTAACATCTGACTAATTAACTGTTCAGTTTTAGCTTTTTCTAAAATCAGATCTTTTGTTCTATCAGCTACTATAGCTTCCAAATTACTTGAGTATTTTTCCAACTGTAATAACATTATAGGAATATTTCATAATGGTGATGTGGTCAAAGAAGATTAACTTCACAAAACTCAGGCAATCATAAATAAACAACTGTAATAATATGGTATGATTTTTAAAATGGTGATTTGGTGGTCAAATATGTATCGTCGACTAAAAAATAACCCTATATTGGCCTAAATGGACTGAAAGGCTTAATAGTTAGATTGTTTGTTGGTAGATGACAAGTTAATGTCTGATGGCACACTACTAGCTAAGGTAAGCTAGGTAAGAGGAAGAGGATTAATTCAGATTGTTTGGTAGTTGAGGTCAAGTTGAATGACATGGCACTATAAATCTTTACGCTATGTTAACTTATCTGTTTTAACACAAGATATTTCTGGCAGAAAGTCTGAACTGAGTAAACTGTAAAAACTTACCATGTTGACAAGATTATCAATGAGTTCACCTTTAACAGGATGTATTATATTTAACTGTTCTAATATTTGACGATACGTAGGTCTTTCTTCAGGGTTATCAGACCAACAATGGTCCATCAGCTACAATAATCATATCAAAATTTCAATAGATAGTCAAAAAAAATTCATCTAAATAGTACTCAGTCAAGTCAACCAATTTGAACTTGTCTACAAAGTACTATAGTAAAACTGGTACATGAAATAGTCTTTACCATAATGAAAGTTAATTTTAGTCAAATTTAGATGAAAACAAGGGAATATCTAATCAATTCATAAACCCTGTCTAAATTCTTCGTGAAAGAAGCTCCTTAGACAGAAATACTCACAATTTTCATTTTTCTACAGACTTCATATTCATCAGAGATAGAACTATCAGGTACAAAGGGACGGAAAGGTTTAGAAGCATCAACTCCAGTGTCTGACCAAATCTGTAAACACAACACTAACGTTTGTCATCTTAATCATAATTAAATAACGGAACACAATTTTATGATATAATACGACTCCTTGGTTTTATTGTACATCTTATATTTGTACAATTAGTTTATACTGAGTTCACTTTTGGCACTCAGAGCTACAGGCTGTACACATTAAAGATCTTAGACAGTGGGATATCTAATTTGAAAGGTAATTTTCACCTCATTGCACACTATTTCTAGTCAACTTATCAGCGTTATAACCAAATCAAGAACCTTCATTGATTATTAAGCAAGTACAACAAAAGTTCTTACTCTGATAATTCGTCTGTTCCAGACTATAAAGTTGTTTTCACCTACCGATTTTTGTTTTTTGTATGCTGGATTATTTTTATCACGAACTAAGTTTAAGATATCTTCAGCTTCTAGGAAACTGGTTTCGTTGGTGTAGGGTTGTTCTCTTGTACACATCTCTGTTAATATTATACCATAACTTCAAACAAAAATAAACAATGTCATAATACTATTAGAGAGTCAATTTATATTAAAAAAAAAATATTTTAACTTATTTCAAGTAAAGCCTATAGAACAGGTGGTTAGAGCATTAAAGTCTTTAAGATTATTTGTTTGTTTACATCGTAATGATTAGTCGTTGTGGTTTCTTATTAGAGTTAGTTTGGAGACCTTGAATAAGTTACCTTTCCTAATTATTCCAGTCTACCCAGCTGTAAATGGGTATGACTAATCAGGGAAAGATTAATAACACCCAGACTATCTGGTAGACAGAATTATTGTGAATTTAAGTAAAATAAATATCTCGTAAGAGTAAAATAAAAATTGACTCACGAATAAATATCACCAGCTTTGGTTCCATTTTTAACATCCTGAAGAGTTTTAGCATATTTTAACATTTCAGGTGGAGTCCAGTACAGTTCACTGAAAGATAGATTCATAAAACATGAAAAATCTTTAGCCTAATTTTTATCTTAATTTCAGTTGTTTACAGATATAACGTATGTATTCACAATGGGGCCCACTATTAATTGACTTAGAAAGATTAGACTTTATATTCTTGAACACTATATTGGAAATGTAAATAATGAAATAGTACCTAGGTTTAAATTGTTCAGGGTTTTCACCATCTTTAAGTCTTGGAGCTAAATATCTCATAGTTGGAGCACCAAATCCTAAAATAAAAAAACCCATTCTTTATAGTCATTTCAACACAAAATTTATTCTAACATTTGAACTATTTACTATCAAAATTTTTTTAGTTCAGTTCTTCAAAAAATTTATAGCAAATGGAACTGATCACATAAAGAAACCTGAATAAAAATTTTGTTGGATAATTCAAATTCTTAGTAGGCAATGGGAAATGAAATTAACTCTGCTCCTGATTGGGCCAATAGGCCTTTCTCAATGAGATGACGTCAATATTCATAGAAATATCAAAACGAGGCTAAGTGGGCAAGGAAGTCAAAATGGCGTCTGTTTAGCATGCCTCTTATCATTTCGACGTCAACTAGCGACAAGTTTTACCATACATAACCTTTCATTTCCTTGGAGATGGTTTTATAGATCACTGACAGGAGGATACTTATATTTTGTTAGAAATATAGGCCTATCAAAGACATCAAAACCAAAGGTAAGTCACTAAGTTGACTAAGGCTAAAGCCTGTAGCCAAAGGAGTAAAAGTGTGACCTAGTTATCACACCATTGCCGACAGACGCCAACGAGAGTGTAGATAAATCTCATTTGGTTACCAGGTATAACATGAGATTGCTAAATTATTTTGTCATTATTGGTCTAGTCAGCTAGGCTCATTATTACTACAGTATTAGCCTTACTCTACTATTCTACTCAGTACTCTCTAATCTACTAAACTCTAGGCCTCGGATTCTAGGTCATGATAAAATGTGAGTAATGACTTAGTAGTTATAATAAGCCTGATTCGGGAATGTGCCTATTCTTTTAGTTATAACATGTAAGACTAACTGATGAGAAAAAAGGCCTTAGAGAAGAAGACTCAATATTTTGACTCTTTGAAAGGGGTACAGAGCTAACAAAGCCAGTCAAAGAATGACTACAAGTGCTTTAGAAGAGTGGGTATGCTTTAATTAACAAGTCTTTGCTTTTTTTTAGGATGAGATTTGATTTCCTATTTTAAAGATCCATGTTAGTATAATGTGGTATGTGGTTTATGTGGATGAATAACAAGAGTTCTCTAGATCTCCTTAGTTCCATGTCAATGTGACAATTTTATCAATTCATTATGCAATATGCTGTAACTTATATTTATAAGTTGATTATATGGAATGAAATAAAAGACAAAATTGATAGTGTTTTTTTTTATAATTCAGTGCGAAAATTCATGTGATGTTAACATGCATTTATAATTTAACAACATGTACATGTATATATTACAAATAAAGTCCTTTTTTTCTGTCACTTGATCCTGGGATTCTCATTTTCGTCCTCATGCTCTTAATTTGTCTTGTCCTATAAAACATAAACAGATAAAAAATATATATTAGCCCTGATTATTTCAATGATATTTGAATATGATTTGCAAATACAAATTGGATATGAAATTTATTTAAATATTGCAATGGAAATGGATTACAAACCCTTAAATTGAATTTGAGATGCACTAAAAAGTTACCCTTGTGGTCCTGTGGAGCAGGTTATACTTATATGCTTATTTGGTTTTATCTATCTTTAAGAAATATTACCAAAATATAAAAGACAAATAAGGCTTACGTTAGGGAGTTTTTCCTTATTGATATCATCAAACATCATTTGATTCATCTACATAATATGTATTATATATTATTACCCCAGTTAGTTTTGGATTGTATAGATCTTTTCATTTTGGTCCATCACTGCAATCAAGTTGGAAATCATGTGAGCAAACTATTGTGCCAGCAGTAATCTGTTTAAACAAGCACACGTAGGTCTATGTGTAAACAGCCTGCTGGTGCTATCAGTTGCATCATTTAATTAAGTATAAAATTATGACAAATTGGCCCAAATGTAGAAGGGCACTTATCTGTTGGATAGGGGTAGGGCTGTGAGCTGTTGTATTTAGAAAATTACTTCTATAGATTGAAGATAATTAAAGAAAACTGTTAAGTTGTCTAGGCTAGTAATGAACTAACATAGCTGCAATTGGCCTATGCCATGGCTAAATAAAGGCACAAAGAAGGGACCAAGCCCAAGAGGATAAGAAAGACAGACCTACCCTACTAAAACTGATAAATGATTTGTTATATTCCAATTACAGCAAATATTTCAGTTTTTTAACTTAGAAATGAAATTGAAAAAAAAAAAAAAAAAAAAAGGAAACGGAATAATGTATTGTTGAAAATCCAGGCCTACTTCTATCTAGTCTACCTCTACGCTGTAGGCTACTGTACAGAATCCAGAGGGGCAGATTCTCTTGTTCAAATAAGATTACACTTACCCTCCAATCACGAAATATCATTTAACAAATCACAGGTGTAGGAGAATAGGTAAGTCACTCAGTCATCTTTTACTTTTAGTGACGCTACTCACAAAAGTCACAGACTGACTTACCTGGCTGAAAATTGAAGTAGTTGTAGCTTGGCCAATCGTCCTGACAATTTTTCAGTCTTTAACAATCCATTCTTTCTGGAGGCTTGTCATCTGCAGGTATTTGGTGATATCGAAAACCATCATAAAAGTGGCGTAGCAATGTCATCAAGCTTTTCTATCCACAGCTTCATTAACGTGGCGTCGACCATGTTTGTTTACAGCCGAACACGTTGCCCACTCTGTGAAGTTAGTGGACGGAGCAATGCATACGTTTTGAGAAAGGAGTATGAAGACAGAGAATGAGAAAGGAAAAATTGTCTTGGTTGGAGGTAAACTCTCCAAAACTTACCAGAAATTTTACAAGTCCATCTGTTATCAACTAAACAATTGGTAGATTTGAGACGACCATGAGATACAACTTCAGACCGATGTAAAAAATCCATACCACGACAGATATCTTTTAATATAGAATATCTAAAATCCCAGCCTAATTTTACAGCTTCATTAGATAATAAATCTTCAAGACTGCCCTGGAAATATCAAATTACACTTCAGAAAATTTAATGAAACAATTATGCCTCAGATTTGGATTATGGTTTCCATTTCTAACTTACCACAGATAACAATGACAGATTTATGAATGAGACAATTGGTCAAAATTGAATCTGTCAGAACTGTGCCTCCTAAAATATTATTTTATGACAGACATGGATGATGACAATAACCACATTTGATGTTTGATATAAAAAATTGCATAGCAAAGACCATTTTAAGCTTTATTAACTATCTTAATACTGCCAAGAACTATGATCAAAGCTAGGGTCTCTAAGGCGTGCTCACCCTGATACCACTCTGCAACTAGGTTCAATTCAGACAGTCCACAATGCTAATATTTATTGAGAATGATATATCCATACCTTTGGAGCAACTTCTGTGACAAGAGCAACATTAGGAGCTTCTAAACAAGCACCAATAAACTGTATGAGATTATTATGTCGAATTTCCTTTAAAATAACCATTTCTAGTCTCAAACTATCATCTCCAACATCTAATGTATCAATGTTAAACATCTAGAAATGAAATAAGATGGAGTTATATATCTTAATGGTTCAATGAAATGAAATAGAGATTTATATCCAACTTTTATGAATCTGATGAAGCTGATGAAATGGGAGTGTTATAGCCTTATATCTTGAAATGGAAAGGAGTTCTACATTTTTCAGTTAATCATAATACAGTAAAGCATTTGAATAATTATTTAATTGAAAATCTATTCTTCAGTGTCCCTGATTCACATAATAAGTTTAGAGAAGAAGAAAATACCTGTGCATAGCCTTTTTGATGATGCCAAGTTATACAGTTATTACTCATTTGAAGTCCACCATCTTCAGCTGTAGACATTAAACTCATAGCTCTATCAGCACTTTCAACTTCATCCCATTTTATTAACCAATCTAAATTCTTCATAGCAGCTATTCGAGCTTGTCTGTAATATAGGATAGAGTGATAGTCAATGACATGTTCTGAAAGAGACTTAACCACAGTAACAACACATAACTAATATCAACGTTAAACCTAATCATTTTTCCCATTGTATTTGTTTATTAAAAAAGTATTACTTACCGCCTGCTAAGGAAGCGAATGAGGAAGAAGAGAAAAACAGCTAATAGAATGACAGCTAACAAAGGCAAGATTACCACAACAGCTAATGGCGTTTGACAAACGGATCCAATATAACCGGATACACACTCACATTCATCAGGACCTGTACATTGACCATTGACACATCCAGGACTGAAATATATTTAGGGTTTAGTTTGTCATTACCAAGTTGGGTAATGCTTTTCAGTGAGCAATATGGCAAATTTATCTAGGACAGAAGCTTAGACTTTCTATTGCAACTTTTGACTGGTCTTTTTCCTACCTGAAGAACTTGATGCTTTCTCCAGATTAACCTTTCATACTTGCATCACTGATTGGGGTTAACTCAGATAAAATATACAAAGGTATCAGCTTGACCTAAACATGGATAACACCCAAAACCCTTTTCTGATCAAGCTCAAGACAAGAAAATTCTGATGCCTTTGCCAGTGGTTCAGAGAGTCGGCCATATGTTCCCTTTTCAGATAAAATTTGTCTCTACTCACTTGCAAATAGCTGTATCACATTCAGTGCCTTCCCATCCTGAATCACAAATACAAACAGCTGGTATATCACAATGTCCATTTTTACAGGAACAAATCATTCTATCACAGGTATCAGTAAAATATCCATCAATACATCTACAAGTTATATACAACATTTAATACACATACAAAATATTCAAACATTAAATGATATTTCTGTATTATTTTAGCTTCTCATATATAGTAAACTTACTAATAGATACAGGCAATGAAGTGTGGTATTTAGCTAGCTATATTCCCTCAACAAGTTATAAGTCCACTGTTTAACTTTCAAAATTTTTTAATTTGGGGCCTGTTGATAGTGGACTTTATTGCAGAGATAATGTTAAAAATTAAATTCACTGAAATCCTCTAGTTATTAGTTTCAGACAACATTTTAGTGACAAGAACTTGAGAGAAACTTACTGGCATTCATCCTGGGAAATACAAGTACCAAATTCATACAGAGTGATGTCAGTTTCATCAGTGGCTGATCCCCCACAACCATTAGTACAGTAATAGGGTGCTACTACTTGTTCTTCTTTTACTATCTGTACAGGAGGGTCTGTAGACGGGGGTATAGGTTCAACTATTTGTGTTTCTCTAGCATACATACCACTCGATGAATTATAACTGAAATATTTTAATAAATTACACTTAAAGTCTTTTTTCTGCTGTCTGGCACAACACGAGAAAAAAAATCTGTCATTCGTTGTCCACTATGTCACAATCACGTGCAATTGAAAGGGAAATGAATCTAATTGGATGATGACACTCTGTCTTGCAGATGATAAAACAATCCGCAATTAATCTTATCTTTTACAATAGCATGATGTAGAATACAATTTGTGTAAAAACTGTATGACTTACTATCGTTTGTTTGTATATGTAGATTCTGGTTTACCAATCGGTCCTAGAGTATAATTATAGGGAGGTAAATATAACGGCCAGTAAGCTTCAAACGGTATTTCTAACTGATCTTCAGCTTCATCACTTTCTAGTTGGATTGATCGGGTGAATATAGCTACCTACAATATAATACTTATATCATCTCCAACCCTTTGATATTCTTTATTACTTTCTGAGAGAATCATACCCACCCTTCCCCTGAAAACCAATAGCTTATTTCAGATTTAGAAACCAACAGAAGTTTCAATGGATCTAGTTGTCTTTTTATTACTTATTTAATCAGATGATTGGTCTTAACATTTTTAACTGAGTTTCTGACTTGGGATTTCCTTGTAATAGAATAAAGATAGCTGTTGAGTGTCTAAGGGTTACAATTATTCTTACTTTAATTATTTTGAAAATGCAGCTTTAAACAAATATGGTATTGCAGTTTAAATATGATACATTCGTTTATTAATTCACCTACTAACTTAATGATTTATATATATATTTTTATTTGTTTAATTATAAAACATCGAATATTGTACATAATTATAATGTAAACTATGAACTGTATATATACTAGTGAACTATAGGCTTTTTGCCTTATGGTCAAATAAATAAAATTATTATTATTATTATTATTATAATAAAGATAGCTTGCGATGCAAGGTAACATATGCCCACTGGCAGCTGTCAGAAATAATAAAACAGTCTTTAGTGACTAAAGTACGAATTTTCTCATATTGAAGAAATTATTTATGTTGAATAATTCCACAAAATTTTTTAAAATCAATATCAATAACCCAAATACAACAAACAATTAAATCACACAGCTCTAATCAAGGGCAAAAAACAACTTTTGATGCGTGTTTACAAAGTCAAGGGCAATAACTCAAAAGATAGCTTGCGATGCAAGGTAACATACGCCCACTGGCAGCCGTCAGAAATGATAAAACAGTCTTTAGTGACTAAAGTACGAATTTTCTCATATTAAAGAAATTATTTATGCTGAATAATTAAACAAAATTTTTTAAAATCAATATCAATAACCCAAATACAACAAACAATTAAATCACACAGCTCTAATCAAGGGCAAAAAACAACTTTTGACGTGTGTTTACAAAGTCAAGGGCAATAACTCAAAAAATGTTCATCAAAAATATCTCTTGTTAGAATTTGTCCGAGATCTTATCAATTTCAATGATCACACCAAGTTTCATCAGAATCGGTTGAAAACTGTAGCTTCTATTTTGCTCACAAACAAATTTTGACGCGTATTTCGTAAGTTAATGGCAATAACTCAAAAACATTTCATCGAAAATGCGTCGAGTTAGAACTTGATCGAGATATTATCAATTTCAATGATCACACCAAGTTTCATCAAAATCGGTTGAAAACTGTAGCTTCTATTGTGCTCACGAACAAATTTTGACGCGTTTTTACAAAGTCAAGGCAAAAACTCAAAAACCGTTCATCGAAAATGTGTCAAGTTAGAATTTGTCCGAGATCTTATGAATTCCAATAATCACACCAAGTTTCATCAGAATCGGTTGAAAATCCTGCTCACAAACAATTTTTAACAAATTTCAAGGCGTCAAGTCAAGGGCATATCTCAAAAAAAGTCCATCGAAAATATGTCAAATTCGTACTTGACCGAGATCTTATCAATCTAAAGCATCACACCAAGTTTTATCAAAATCAGATAAAAACTGTAGTCTATATAGTGCTCACAAGAAATGTTGACGGGTGGACCGACAGACCGACGGACAGGGGCGACGACAATATACGACATGTTCATGTGGGCGTATAAAAACCATGCTGGAAGTTAATAATACCATTTCCAGTGCTTATCAGAATGGACAGGCAGTAAGTAGACAATATATAAAAATATAAATCTTACGTTTGTTGGCATTACACCTAACTCTGGAGGTATTGGATTGACTGTTACCATGGAACCTAAAAATCCAGGTCTATCTCCCTTATCATTGAACTTGATTCTTCCTGTTAACCCATCAAACTCCACCTGTAAATATTAAGAAGTTAAAACAGAGGTCATCAGGTTAGGTCAAAAGGTTATTGGGATGAATGCTCAAGAGGGCTGTCGTTAGACAACAACTGGAGTGGCTATATTAAAAATAAAAGCTAATAAAAACAACTGAAAGTTTAGTATATTTTTAATTAGACTGATGCCAAACACTGGACAAAATAAATATATAAGAAAACTTCAAGCTAGAAATCTGTCTACTTACATTTCGCACTTCAAGAGCTAAATTTTCTCCTGTCATAGTTTTACCATCTTGAATCATTTGATTCATGGCCATAGCATAGGCTCGTACAGCATCATATCCTAAACCCATTTCAGCTCCAACCTGCAAAATATAATAAGTTTTACACCCTACCTTTCACATCTTAATAGGAGAAATAAAACCTAGTTTTATGCCTTATTGACAATGCGAGGGATAAAAACATTCTACTTTCCTGCTCCACTTCAGACTAAGAAAAAAATGCAATACCATGATGTGGGCAAATAAGGGAAATTTTACATATAGTCACAAATAAATCTTTTTGCTAGTTTAAGATCGAAACTGTGACTTGAAAAGAATAAACAAGAGTAAACTAACACTACCTTTGCCAGTTCCAGCATCACCATATAAAACTAGAGTTTAAGATAAGGTACATTGACAACAATTAGTATTCTAATTTAAGGTTAAATTTGAGAAAATGAAAACGCAATGTGAGGTATGCAGTGAGTGAAATTTAGCTTAATGATAAAGAGAAACAAACCTCATAAATAACATATTTAACACGTCCCCTATATAAAGATCTATCAGAATAAATGTGATAACCCATAACACGCATCCAGTCTGGAGAACGGTAAGCTGAAACACTGTAAGTTGGTGTAAACATTACCATACCTTTATAGGCTACTGTACAGATTGGTTCCTGAAACAAAGTCAAAAATTTCATACCTTTCTTATAGGTCAACCAATTGATATTAAAGAATGAAAGCTGAC